TAACACTCCTTTAAGTCTTTGCTAAGCAATAGTTTGAGTTGGTAACCTCTCCCACATGGTGAAAACACCTGTACTAATCTGATCTATATCCATGGTCCACCCAACAGTTTCAAAATGTCTTACATCAGCTTTGGCAATGATGAAACACCGGTGAAGGCTTTCAGTTAATTGCAATTGGTTAGCATTCTGCAGCCTTGCATAAACAGACTGACTTGGTTGGACATGCTAAAGTCTGAGCATATAAGCTTGAGATATACGCTCAAGTACTAAAGTGCCCCAGTGAAAAAAAATTGTAATGTTTTTGCACCGATTCCCAAAGCATGTGAGATTCAAAATTTGCCAAACGGTTTACCGCCACATCCATCTACCGTCTACATTCATGAGATGTGCAACCCGATTCTATTGACCCTCCCCCAACAGAATGACAAGCCCATTCAACAAAACCTTAATTTTAGATTAAATGTGTTATTATTTAAATAAACTAAATCATAGACTTGCTTGTAGCGAATCTATTTAAAACAATTAAATACTGAATAAATTACCATTTTTTTGTTGTTGTTGATAATATTTTTAGACGCGTCTATATGAAGCAGAACTGTAAATGCACGCAGGGTTCAACAAAAAGTCAATGGACGAACACAGCAGTGAGCGTCAGAGTCACACAATCATCGAGCACTACACGATGCTCCGTCCTTTATCCCCAGCTTCCATAGGAACTCGGTGGAAATTGAACCGCCTCACGTCTGCGCGCACCATCCCGGCTCGGAGAGGCTGGCTCCACTTTATGAATGGATGGGTGTGGCATGAGTGTCCATAATGAGGCTGTCGTCACCGCGCTTGTTGATAGGCTAACGGCGTGCTGCGAGTGAAGGATGGTCCCGGAGTGAAACACAGCTGCACCTCCACCACGGCGGTCACAAGAGGCAACGAAGGGAAGGAAAACAGAGAGAGAGAGAGGTGGAGAGCGCAGCGTCTTCACCCACTGCCCCGCGAGGACCAAACTTCTGGGTGACATTCTGGTGAGGACACAAACGTAGGGTGCACCGAAACAGAGCGCACAACGAGTTTTTGCTTTGATATGCGTGCTCACTTTACACCGAAAGTGTAAATCATGTGATGATCAGATGCGAGTTGGTAAAATCCTCTCGTCCGCCGTGTGTGTGCGTGCGTGTGTGTGTGTGTGTGTGTGTGTGTGTGTCTGCATCGGATCGATGGTTTTAGCTTAAGGTTGGACTATATGCTGCAGCCAATGCGGTGAGGAATATTACGGAGTAAAAACTGGCAGACAAAAGAAAGTCGATGCGAGGTCTCCCTCCGCCCCATGCGATCCCTCCTTGTAGGTGTGACTGAAGCAACAAAGGGACGCGGAGCAAACTCGCATCAGGACCACAAGCGGGACAAGTCTGCCCAGACAGAGCACACAATAGCGGCGGGGCGGGGTGTCGGGGGCTTGCAAACAACAGTGCGTCTGCTGGTTTTGCAATATGCAGCAGTATTCGTGTAATTGCCCTCCTCCTGGCGTCTCTCGACTACAGAAGTCGGGGATATTTTTCTCCTGTCAGCGCTGGCAGATCTTAACCCGACACGAAGCTGAACCGATAATTTGAAGACTTTTTGCAAGTCCGGGCTAAAGCGAGAGAGAGAAAGAGAGAGAGAGAGAGAGAGAGGGGGGGAAAAAGAGAAACGCCGCAAGTGTTACAATATGTCAGTTTTGATCTTAGATGCTGTCATCTTAGGCAGGACAGCATTGTTCTGAAGGGACCTCATTTGTTTGTTCGTTGCAGTTTAATAGGGAGAGGCGAGGGACGAGCGCTGCTCGGAGTAAACTGGAGAGATCAGAGCAAAGAGGTGTGAAGTCAGAGCGGACGTCAAGACCTGAGCTGAACACAGAGGCTAATGCGTTAAAAGGTAGGAGACACCATGCAGGACTTGTGATATAATCTTTATGCTCCTAAAAAAAAAAAAAAAAAGAATCTGCAGGATAGAGCAGATTACATGTGGACAGACAGCGAGGGGGGTTGCATAACGGTTCAGTTGGGGCTATTCAACTGCTCTGCACTTTATCGACAAACCTTACCCAGGACCTGCACAATAATCCCACTGCTTTTTAAAGTTCTGCTCCACAATGATTGATTTCCCAGCAAAGCTTAGGCACTTTAAGGTTCTGCTAATGGTCTAATTTAAGAGTTTCTGTTTTGTTTTTATGGAAGTTTGCAAAAAAAAAAAAAAAAATAGCATGGGTGTGTCACTTGAAATTAGTCCAAGACAAAACCTGCACACAAGTGATAGCAAACGTTGGAGAACGTGAGTGGGACAGTTTCAACGTTTGAAAAAATGTCTATGGAAGACCAAAAGTGCCACAATTTAAAACAGTCGCTACATGTTTATTTTAAGTGTGTGGCCAATTGACTAAAATTACTAACAGATCCATAAATAACACTATGCAATATAGAAACAACTAGATTATCCACTCATATGATGCCTGTTTAAAGGGCATGAATATATTTTTTTATCAGATGAATTTCTTTTTCAGTTGTGATTGAGCTTGTAGTTATATAGGTATGCTAATAATATCCGAAAATATAAAAAAGTAAATAAAACAAAACAAAAAAACAACGACCCCCCTCGACCCCTCCCCCTCCAAAAATAACAGGAATAATGTAGCTGAATAACCAGACAAAAGTTGCTAAAGTGGGAAGGCATTACATCTGAAACACTATCCCAGGCAGGTCAGTTTCCCAGTTGCTCTACTGTCCGTTTGAGCATGAAAGGCTTGGACATCCCTACCCTGGACCCTGGGGTCCGCTAGATTTCCTGATGGGTGCCGATGCACATTCCAGATTTTTGTGTTCAAGCTGGTTGTGCTTGCAGACAGCGAAAATAAGACGTCTGTCTCCAGATGGTAATGAAAACAGTCTGTCCAATCTGGAGCTAAACAAAGACAAAAATGGTTGTTTTTCCACCAACATAATGTGGGGAGATTGGCTGTATCTTTCAGTTCTTTTTCTTTTTCTTCTCCACTGAATACACTGTATGTAAACAATTGCATTATCTCCCCCTATGAGAGACACAGTGAAAAACATATTCATGCCTTGACAACAAGAATAGTCACACGAAAGAAATAGCGAAGAGTCCGTCTAGAATTTGAGCTTGTACGGTGAAGACCTAACAGTGGTTTGTCTTGTATTGAGGAGGAAGTAAAGATAGAATATTGTCTACAAGTTAGTGGTGTGTGCATCGTGCTAGTTTGAACCTGCCTGATAAGAAGGCTTTGATGTGGCAGGAGTTGGAAGCTGTGAATGAAACTGGCTTAGGTGACACTTTTCGCCCTCCAAAGTTTCAGGCTTGGTTCTTGAAATAAAACATTTATTATTTTTTTAGCCTGAAAGAGATTTCTGAGAAAAACCATGGAATGATAAAGAATTCAAAGAATGAATGCAAAGTCAACGTCAGCATAGCTCAGTTGTCTTTTTAATGTCACGTCTAATGATTTTACTCTGAAACATATCACGTAATGAGATTTATAAAGTAGCCCTCAAAAGTGTGTTTTTATTTTCAATAAAAAAAAAAAAATCCTTTTAGTTTTGCAAAACAACTAGTTTCTCAGCTTAGTTAAACACAAAGTTAAATCCTTCCTCCACTTGCACCACGCATTAGTGAGTTCAGCCTGAAGTCACTCTCTGTGTTCACAGACTGCAGTTTGGATTGCTGCAATTTTTGGCCCAAGCCTGGAAGGAAACTCTGTATCTGTGACAACAGCCAAAACACATATATCCCTGCTGCCTGCATGACATTTCCTGGATTTCTTTTCCTCGCCTCTCTCTGCCTTTATCATTCCTTCCCCGCAAAGCCCCGAAAATGGAGTGGGTGTGGGGATGGTTCGAGAGAGCTGACATCAGTTCCTCTGTTCCTGCCCACTCCTCAGTGTTTTTCTATCAGCTGTGGAATTTAAACCATTCTTTCTTTTGGGTGAGGCCCGTCCCTCTGTCTGCCCCTTGCTCAGAGTAACATTTTGTTTCTGAAGCGCCTCTGTGTATGCATGTGCATGTGGCTGGGTGGGTATGAGTGGGGCTTTCCAGTTGGGGTTGTACACCAAACATTTCTGGCTGCTGGTTAGCCATCTAGTGAGCCAAGTTCACACAGCTGGGAGCCGAATAAGAAGAAGAGTCTTTGTGAGAGCTGATCAATGTCCCACACACATGTGGGGTGTCTTTTAGTGCTTGCCTCAAATCGATTTTGCAGTTCTGCATTGCCTGTTCTGCATTATAAATACGGATTTGCAGCAGTGGTGATTTGTAATTATTAAAGTTGCATTCTGAAAAAGAGTCTCTTAGATGCATGCAGAGTTCTGCAGAGGCCAGTGTTCGCTGAAGAGCCTAAAGTATCTAACAGAGACTCATAGTGATCGCTCACAAGCGTCCTCCTTTCTCACCCGAACCACATGATGTTTGTCCTGTTTAGCAAGTCCTGAAAGGAGGAAAGGGAGAGAGGGGGCAAAGAATAACAAGAAAGAGAAAAAGAAGAAGAGGTGATGGCAAAGAGAGTTTGTTTCTCAGTGGCTGCTTCTTTCTTAAACGAGATGTCAGCGAGCAGAAGTTGTGTACGGAAAGAATGGAAAGCTGGTCAAGTTTGTCGAAAGAACTCTGGGGTAGGGTGCTAAGAGAGGAGGAGAGAAACAAATAAAACAGAAACCAAGCTGTGGAGAAGAGAAAGAAGGGAGGGCGGCGGAGGGCAGAACCAGAAGAAGAGGGACACCAAGGGGTTTTGGCTGAGGGGAAGTAAGTGTCGAGGTTGCTGTGGTACCAAAAAGGGGAGAAATTTCCAGATCGGACATGACTGTAAATATATATATAAAAATCATACAAAACATGTTGTTTGCACCCCTCCTCTACCTTCTTCTCTGTTTGAATAAAAATAAAATTAAACTATTTAAAAGTTAACCTATCTTTTAATCTATCAGTTTAGTGGGGTGAGGGTGAAAATCTATACTGTTATACCTATAAATTTATGTGGAGGTATGGTTGGGTTAGATTAAAATAACTTTTCAATTTAATATTTTTTAATCAGGCTTAGTTTGAATCTCACGTGATTAAGAATTTTTAAGAGAGACTTCTCTTTTTTTAGTAGGTAGGACTTAAATGATGACACTGAAAATCCCCAAAATATCTTGTAGATCTGTGAGGAGTGGACTTTTATGACAACAGAAATGTTGGTGGTTATCTGGATTTTGTATGTGGGAGGCATAGCAGTTCCGTCTTTGATATTTAGAAGTCAGATTTCGAAGCGTGGCCACACTCACATGGCTTAGAGTCAGCCTTTTCATCACTTTAGTCATCAATGCCTTTAAAAAAAACTTTTTAAGGTGGTAAGCAGAGTTAATCTCAAGTCTCAAGTGTGAAGAAAATTAAAGCTTTGATCCAAAATAGCTGACCTCCTGTAGGGTTTGGTTGGACTTTGACTCTATTGTTGATTCTAGGAAAATACATGTGATCCATATGTCATTTACATCAGTCAAAGCAGCAAGAGAACTGAATGCCTCTTAAAGGTGGTGCTGTAGATCCATTTTACCATGACCTGTACATTAATAATATATGTAACTTCCTGTTGTCAGTGAACCAGGCATTTACAGGTGATGTCAGACTGTAAATTTAGTTTTGTTGGAGATTAAATCTGAATCATTTTTGGGAAGTTTGGGGTGACTCTGACGTTCTGTGAATTGTGAAAAATGTGTCTTTTACCTTGAGATTTTCTGCGATGGACTGCCAATTTGTCCAAGGCATACTCTGTCTCTCGCTCAACAGGTACAAGGCCCCGTGTCGACCCTTCGAGGAAAAACGTGTTTAGATAATGGATGGATGTTGAGATTTCAGAAGTTGACATTAGGCAAGCATCTGCCAAAAACCATTTGATAACTTTAAACCCCACAAATCTCATAAATATAGTGAGGAACATGGAAACATTCAAACTGACAGGAGGTCAAAAAAGTCATGATTGTATAGGTTTTGGTTTTCAGCTCAATTCAAAATGGCTGACCTCCTAGTTGTTGAAGGAGATAGCCTCAAGATACTTTTGTGTAGGTTTGGGGTTCACACATGTAAGTGCCAAATCTCCTCAGCATAAAGATAATTCAAATATATATGGGATTGTTGCAAATTCCAATAGGTGAATAAATCTCCTTATTGGTAGACTACTCGACAAGCACTTGAATATATATATATATATATATATATATATATATATATATATATATATATATATATATATATATATATATATATATATATATATATATATATATCCTAAATTTATGAATGGATGAAGTCAGGATCTCACAGCTTGTGGGCGAAGACATAAGGAGTTTATGTGGTGAGAGAAGTGGATAAGGAGGTGTCGCATTATGAGCAAGGACAGGACAGACCAGAACTGCTAGATAAGAAAACTCAGTTCAGTTACGAGTGGTTGTCTCTGTCAAGTGATGGCTGATGAAACTCCTTTGGGCTGGAGCAAGGCCAGGGCCTGAAAGAGGGTCTGTGTCAGGAGGTCCAGGAAGCCTTCGCTGAGAGGGAGGAGTGTTACACAACATCACTGCTGATAGCACATACTATGTTGGATGCCAGAAAGATCAACACTACAATTTGGATGTCTTCATTCCTGATGGTGATTTTAAACTAAGTAAGCTAACTAAAACAAAAATGTCACTGATTTCCCTTTTCTTATGAATGTGAGTGTCTTTCGTGCCCTTCTGGTTTGGCATAATTTATATTCTACACTTTAAGCCGGAGGACATTCTGCCTGGCCACATTTTCTGCATTGCATAATTTTAAAATAACACATTAAGAGACGTCTGAGAGATGAGTGGGTCAGCTAGGATTACTACTGAAGACGAAATTTGAAGATGGCCAGTAAAC